GCGGAAGACCGGAAGGCCTGGTGTGATCTGGTCCATGGGGCTGCGAAGAGTCGGACTCGACTGTGCAACTGAACAACAACAACATAGAGTTTGCCCTCCAAAGCCACCGTTTTCTTAAAAAGCGATCCATTTTAAGTCCGGGAGAACTCCAGGCTCCCCCTGACGGGTGGTAATGCTACTTGTTCCAGGTGCCTTTCAATACAGTGCAGCGTGCCACACGTGCCCAATCTTGTGTTTTCCCTGTGGGGTGTATGCTGTTTCAGGATGCGCTGTTCACAGTCTTATTGATAGTCATTATGTAACCAGGCAAAGGGGGAAGCCCCGTCTCTGGTTTCTGGGTAAAGACAGAAATCGGCCCTTTCACTGTGAAAATGACCGTCTCCCTGCTTTTGCGTTCTGAGCATAAACACTTCTGATTCTCCAGGAAACATCTGGATTATATTATATTATTTTGTTGTTGTTCAGTTGCGCAGTCGAGTCCAACTCTCCGCAGGCCTTCCGGTCTTCCGCCATCCTTTGAAGTTGGCTCAACTTCATGTGTATTGCATCTATGACACTGTCTGACCATCTCATCCTTTGCCGTCCCCGTCTTCTTTGACCTTCAATCTTTCCCAGCATTTATTATTATTTATTAAATTAGATTTGCTAGGCCGCCCTTCCCTACAAGTAGGGCTCAAGACAGCTTACAACAGAATGATAACAATTAAACAGCATTAAAACCAGGGGTCATTTAGTAGAAAAAGAGGTGCAGGAGCTCATTAGCATAACTCATTAGCATAACTTATGTGCATATGCCACACCCCCTGACATCCCCGGAAGTGTGTCAGACGGCAACACCCACCGCTCAGGCACCACTGAATTATTTTGGATTGCTAGCTATTGGGGGGGAGGGAGAACGTGCAGGTCTGTCCTCGCAGAGGAGGGAGAGCTTGTACTTGAATAAAACTTGGTCTTAAAGGTACCACTGGACTATTTTGGATTGCTAGCTATGGGGGAGGGGAACACACAGATCTGCCCTCACAGAGGAGGGAGAGCTTGTACCTGAAGGCGGGCTGGGGAGGGGCTCTACAACTTACCTGGGTGCTTCTTGCTCCTCGTGTCTCGACAAAGGGCTGTTGGGAGCAGGGGGTGGGGCTTGTTGCATGTGCCTGCCCCCTGGACTCCTTACTGCCAGAGCTCTGCTCCTGTGCGCTCCCGCAGGAAATGACCCCTGATTAAAACCATTAAGACAGATCAGTGAATAAAAAACAGAAAACATATACCAGACGAGGGGAAATCAGCTCCCCTAGCCTCCTTGGGGGGGAGGGGTTGCGAGCGATGGGGGAGTATATGAGAGTGCCAGGTGTCCTCCCCTTTTGCTGTCTTCAACCGAACGCCCGACGGAACATCTCTGCCTTGCATGCCCTGCCAAAAGGTAATAACTCTCGCAAGGCATGGATGTCTTCTGGCAGAGAGTTCCACCAGGTACGGGCCCAGGGCCGAAAAAGCCTTGGCCCTGGTTGAGGACAGCTGATTTCTCTTGGGCCGGGGACCACTGGGAAATTCTTGCTTCCTGAGCGCAGTGCTCTTCCAGGGGCATACTGGGAGAGGCATCTTGAATCACCTTAACCTCTAAGTTGTTGTTGTTGTTGTTGTTGTTGTTGTTGTTGTTGTTGTTGTTATTATTATTATTATTGATGGTTTCTGTGTTCCAACTGTGTTAAATCCTCATGAAGGTCATGCAGTGGAGCTGCCCCATTGCGTGGCTGATTGAGGAGTTTCTTTGCTGATGTGTGGAAATCGTAGGATCAGAGTTAAGTCTCTCAGCCTCTTGGGGCGACCTGTGTTCATCTTGCTCTTCTCCTTTTCTCCTTAGCCTCGTTATTCAGGATATGCTGAACTCAGAGGAGGAGTTTGTAAAGGACTTGCAGTTCCTGCAGACCCATCACGTCCAGTACACGGAGACCTGCCCCAGCATCCCGGCCGCTGTTTCCAACCAGAAGTTCATTGTCTTCAGAAATATCACTGAGATCACTCACTTTCATTCCAAGTATGTACATCCGAGACACCTTTGCAGCAAGTGAGACAAGGGCAAAACCACCCTTGGAACGGAAAAGTGTGTGCCTGGGTCGGCGGCTTTAGGAATGATTCAGAACGGGGGAAGAGGTGCACATTCTCACTCCTGAAGAGAAAGCCATTTGTTTCCTCTTGTGTGATGGCGACAGGCATAGCTAGCTTTGTAAGAGGATTAGATAGATTCATGGAGGAGAGGGGTCTATCAGTAGCTACTAGCCATGGTGGTTAAAGGGAACTTCTATGTTCGGAGGCAAACCTCTGAGCCAGTTTGGTGTCGTGGTTAAGTGCGCGGACTCTAATCTAGGAGAACTGGGTTTGATGCCCCACTCCTCCACTTGCACCTGGCTGGATGACCTTGGGCAAGCCGTAGTTCTGATAAGAGCTGTCCTTGAAAAAGGGCAGTTTCTGTCAAGAGCTCTCTCAGCCCTGCCTACCTCACAGGGTGTCTGTCTGTCGTGGGGAGGGGAAGGGAAAGGAGTTTGTAAGCTGCTCTGAGACACCTTCGGGTAGTGAAGGGCGGGGTATAAATCCAATCTCTTCTCTTCTCTTCTTCTTGTAATCTGGGAGAACCGGGTTCGATTCCCCACTCCTCCACTTGCACCTGGCTGGATGACCTTGGGCAAGCCATAGTTCTGATAAAAGCTGTTCTTGAAAAAAGAGCAGTTTCTGTCAAGAGCTCTCTCAGGTAGTGAAGGGCAGTGTGTAAATCCAATCTCTTCTCTTCTTCTTGTAATCTGGGAGAACCGGGTTTGATTCCCCACTCCTCCACTTGCACCTGGCTGGATGACCTTGGGCAAGCCATAGTTCTGATAAAAGCTGTTCTTGAAAAAAGAGCAGTTTCTGTGAAGAGCTCTCTCGGCCCCACCTACCTTACAGGGTGTCTGCCTGTCGTGGGGAAAGGAGTTTGTCAGCCG